CCCCCCCCCCCCCCCCCCCAAAAAAAAAGAAGAGCGAGAACTCGGGTTATCAAATGTCTCGTGATTTCCTGGGATATAGAACTTTCAGTGCTAAAATCGAGAAAAGCCCTGGGCAAACGAAAACGAGTTGGTCACCTGAGGGGGAGTAATCATCTTTGCCTCACTAGAACCACAGCCTTCAATTAGAACTATTCCAGCTAAATCCAGAATAGATGTCACAGCCTATTAAAACTGCTGGGGCCTTCAATGGCCATCTTCCCTCCCATTTTTGCTGAGAGATGCTCAGATTCAGAGAGGCGTAGACATTTTTCACCAGGCTGCACAGCTTGCTAGTAGCATATCAGGAACCAGACTCTAGATGGCTACACTCATTTCGCACTCACTGCGTTACAGTTCTTTCTTTCTTATTCTCTTTTTATCCTGCCCTTGAAATGTAAAATAAGTCCAGCTGGTTTTCCTTTTGGCCACAGAACTCAGCTGTTCAAAGAGTAAAACCTGCTCTTCCCAGTTTTACTGGCACCACTTTGGGTTGTATTTATGGTGGGAGGGTGAGGGCTGAAATCAAATCAGGTTGTTGTCGGTGGCTTCCATCAACCACCATCTCTATAAGCACAGGGTGTTCATTCCTCCCTGTCCTTGCTACAGGCCATTAGAAGTATTTTCAACATGCAACTATTTGTTATAACCTAAATGCTACCTTGACTGAGGCAGTCTCATTCATGCCAAGAAGCACATCTCTTCTAAAATGGTGGGTGAGGGGATTTTGTTCCCCTCTAGGCTTTAACACCTAGAAAATGCATGAAAATCTTGCTTCTTCACATTTTATTCTTTCAAATGTAAGATTTAAGATGCCTGCCTAAAAGTTGAAGTTAATGTATGAACCAATTAGTGCTAACCAGGTATCTCATTCAGTCTTCCTTACTCTCTTATGAGAGAGATGCTACTACCATCCCCATTTCATATACAGGGAAACTGAGGTACATAGGGGTTCAGCAACCAGCCCAAAGTTCTTGTTTTTTTTAAGAATATTTTTTTTTGCATAAGTTTAATTTATAATGCATTTAAGTAAACAACCCCCTGTGTGTAATTACTGGAATCTATAATTATTATTTTTTTTTAACTCTAGTAAGTGGTGAAGTCTGTTTCCTGAGCATTATGCTCTTTTAGAAGAGAAAATAGAGCTCAAACACTACAACAAAGCAAACCATCCAGAATGTGGTCTTGGAAAGCAAGGACAGGAAAAAGGTGGAGCGATGTGCTCCTGGCATACAGGGAGATAAATCAGTAAGAGGAATATTTGCAGCGAAAGGGAGGAATTCTGCAGACTTCTTTATGCAATCTAGATGAAGGATGTGGTAGTATGTTTCAGCCCTAACTCCCATCTTCACTGGATATCCTCGCTGAAACACATCATGTACCAAACATCCTGGGCTATCCTGCTTAGTCAATGCTGGAACACAGCCATCAGATTCTAGAAAATTCTGCCATGAAGTACCATCAGTAATGGTGGTCCCTTTACCAAGCCTTTCCTGATATCTGCCACCGGATTCAATCCTGAACTCCTTAGTACTTCATCTTTCCCTTTGCTGCTTAGCCTGTCCTCCTGTAGTTCAGCCGGTGGGGTAGGTAGTAATTGCCATAGGAAATGAAACACCTCCAAAGAGGTGAGACATTATTGGGTGAAACTGCAAAGCTGGTAAGGTGTTTTGGCTTCCAGCTTTTTCTCTTGCCTCCTCCTTTCTAGCACTGGACATTCTATCACGTTCTCTCACATTGTCATAAATTTTTTTCTCAGACGAACCTGGTTGTAGTTTTTATTTCACTGTGACTTTAAGACATGTCGCCACTCTCAGCATTATCCGTACTTTAAAGCTGAGCTTCACTGGGAGAATATAATTAAAAATTTACTTTGTGCCCATGAGAGTAATTTAAAGCATCACTGTACAGGTAGGTGTGCTACAGGGACAAGAACCCTTCTCAGTGCTTCTGAAATCAAACCACATGAACAACTTTTATGTGGCTTATGTTTAAGTTTGGTTTGATCAAATAGATGGTTACTGAACGTCACTACTTTGATGTGCAATCTTTAATTTTATAGGAAATATCTAGAATTATCAACTTGGAAGCCTTATGTGGCAAAACTTATGCTTTGGGGAAAGGAAATTGCTAGTAAATCCTTCAAAATCCTTTGAAATGCAGAAGAGTTGATTTCAATTAACTTCTGGCTTTTCTGTAATTTTGTATGGTGGGCTATAATCATAAAGCAGCAAACATTTTCAGGTACTGCATCGACACATCACTCCATCAAAACACACTATTCCACAATGATGACACAAACTATGGAAGAAAGTAATCAGCATTTTATTGAAATATTTTAGTACAATGTTGGAGGATCTTAAAACACAAGCATTGCAAATGATACATTCCTGGATCTAGCTGACATTGTATAACAAAGTAAAGTTACATACGAATATCTGTAAATTGATAATATCATTTCAGTTGGAGATTAAATAACTTTGGTATATTCATGTTTCTCTGGCTCCTCTTTTTGGCTCAATATATGCCAAGTCTACCCCCATTCAGTAGAGTAGTACAGGACAGATATATTTGGTGGTCGCACTGAAGTATCCACACCACCAGCAGCAGGGAACACTAATGTTCTGGGATTAAGCTGCTCACCAGGCAGTCTTCATCACCTCTGTTGAACCAAAACCATCAGATGGTTAAGATCTAAATTTCCACTGCATATGGCTAAGTCCAGTCTAATCAGTTCATAAATATAATCAGAAGTACTTTAAAATACAAAAGTGGGGCTAAATAATGATAGAAATCATCAGTTCTTAATTCAGAGAATGACAATGCAGATTTTCATATACAGTTTTTTTTATCTGAAGATCACATTTTAAAACTAGGTCTATATATTCTTACACTTTAAATATCTTAGATGAAATTCTGACCTTTAAATTAACTGGCTTTAGTCATGTCAACATGTCTAAACTTGCACACTTGTATGTCAAGTTGTCTACATATATGCATTTATAACTATATCTTCATTTTGTACAAGCATGAAAATTTCAAGAAATAAAGATGTCACATATTTATCAAAAACAAAAACTACAAAGTATCAAAATAGGCTCTTTATATATGTCAAGTCAACTCTATCTAGCTACAGTTAGTCTGTACTGCATGGCTTACTTTACCAGACTACACTATCCTTTGAAATCCTAGTTCCTGCAACAACTAAAATGATACTTTCTAATTTCAATTCAACCTCCGCTGTAGTAACGTTTGAAACCCTGAACACTGCTGTTCAAGTTTGTTAATGACCAAAGTAGATTTGATTTTTCTACCTGCAGAATTTAGATCAGAGAATTTATTCTCTACCAGTTTTAAGATTCAGCAGAAGGAAGAGATTGTTGTTTATTATTCCTAGGCTTTGTCTATGCAGGCACATCCTTTTCTTTGGGGGCTGGAGAATTCAGTTGGTTGTCCACCAATGTGCGGATGACAAGATTCACAACGAGTCTACGCTTGACTTCTGCCACAGAGGCAGCCAGGCACTTCACTTAGAGGTTGTTGTAAGGGCCATCTTATGGGGACTGTAACCCTCAGTGAATTTCCCCTCCACTGTCACTTTTGAGCCACTTTTTGAAAATTATCCTAATGGAGCAACTAATGTTTACTTATTTGCACTTTTTTAATAGGCCTCTCCAACCCACATTTTTCATGAACTGCTTTAGTTAAAACGATCAGTTACTAGAGACTTGTAACTTCTGATTACAAAGGGCAAAAGAACATTTAACCAAATTAATGCATTTGGTGGCACTCATAAAAAGTCACCTTTTTATTTATGTCAAAAGCAAAATAGTGATTAGGCTAGTAAATTTGAGATCTATGAGAGTCTTTATTTTGGTGGAAACCTACAACATGAAATTACTGGGAAAAAATACAAAGTAAAAGTTATAGCTAAAAATATGATGTAAAAGAGCAAGGTGATAGGACATGAGGTGCCTCCCCCAAAATTGTCCACCTGGGATGGACAGAGGAGGGTATCAACGTGACAATGAGCTTGGAGACTGTATTTCAAAACAGTTTCTAAATCAGAGCGATTGCTGAACATTATTTTGGAATTTTAGGACACGGCATTTCAGGTAAGTGATAGTTATAATATGTTTCGGAAGTGGTAATAAAAAAAGATACAGAAATATATCGCCTCTAATACGTCTAATGTTTACCCCAAAAATAAATGAGTCAGTGCCATCTTAAGCCAAATAAAATTTGGCCCATATTAAGCACAGTAACCAAGATGGTTTATTTGAAACTCAGTTACCAAAAAAAGAAGGAAGGAAAGAAAGAATTCAAAATTCATGGTATTATAAATTTTCTAAGTTTCACTCCAAAGTAAAGGGCTAATTTTATACAGGGCTTGACTCAAATGTCCACAAGCATTATCATTATATATTTACACAGAAGGCTTTAATCTGAAGTTACCTTTGGCAACCTCAAAATATATAAACTATGAACTTTCACAATGGAATTATAGAATTGAAAGATGTCACCACAAAGTACTAAAAGAACAAAGGAAAAAAGATCATATGAACAAGTCAAGTTGACAAAACCATTTCTCATTTAAGATAGTCCACTTAAAGACCAAATAACCACCACCATCCCCCCAAAACTGGAAAGAAATGGTCTTGAGCTTTAGAAAGAGGAACACTGAATGAATCACAGAGAATACAGAGATCTGTGCTTTTGCCAGTGATTATTCTACCATTGCTGAGTCCTAAGCTAAAAATCAAACAAACAAAAGCAGGTCAGAAGTCAGAGCAGTCTGCTCGTCACGTCATATTCTGGCTTTATAGAGGGACGTGGCTGAACAGGTACGACACGGATTCCCCGTTGTGTGTCCTTCGGATTGCCTCAGCCAAGATCATGGAAATGTCAATGACCTAAATGCCAACGAGGAAACAGAAAGGGAGGAGGAAAGCAGGACATCTTAGTTAGATTTCTTGAAAAACTGAAAAGCCAGAACGCCTAGAAACGATTTCTCCAGCACATGTGACGTGTCATCATCAAAACCTCCCACACTCATTTCTTTTGAGAGGACAGACAGCTTTGGGGTCTGTCTTCAAATGACAACCTAGGGAACCAAACCTGTCTGGGATCCTGGAAGGAAGATTTTCAGAGCAGAGATTCAAAGGTTTTTCAGGGCTCCTGTTAACCAGAGACATCCTTTTCTTAGGACATTTATTGTTTTTAAATTAATTATACTCAATCATTTTTGGAAGGTTTTTTTCTTTCTCTCTTTCAGTAAAGGTTGTGACTACATCATTTAAGAGCACAACTGTGATCATCTAACTCAGGGGCCAGCAAACTACTTTTTCTGTAAAGAACCAGAGACTTATTATTTTAGGTTTGCAGGCCAGACGGTCTCTGTCACAACTACTTAACTGTGCCATTGTGGTGTGAAAGCAGCCACAGGCCACACATAAATGAATGGGTATGGCTGTGATCCAATAAAACTTTATTTACAAAAACAGATAGTGGGTTGGATTTGGCCTGTGGGCTGGACTTGCCAGCTCCCAACCTAAACTACTGCTAACTGGGCATGAAAATATAAGGCACCGCCATTGTGACCATTTGCAAACTTATCTCCTTGTGTCAAGTGAACTGTGTTTTTCTCTGTGATGGATTAGAAATCACGAAGCAGACCACTTTGGCCCACCCTCATGCTTTACTGATGGGAACCGAGGCTTCGAGATGAAATGACCTGCCAGGGTTCAATGCGACATACAGGCGACAGCGGGGCTCAAACCCTTCTGTCTTATTTCAGGCCAGTTGGTGTCAGGTGATTATCACCAGCTCTCTGGTAGCCTGTGGATGTCCCGTCAGGAGAGACAGGAAGAAGCAAAACTGTGAAGATCCTTAGTACAGCTTGCTGTGTACCCCCTATTTTTTATTGTGCTAATATATATGTAACATAAAATTTACCATTTTAACTTTTTAAGTATACAATTCAGTGGCATTAATTACATTCCCAGTGTTGCATAACCATCATCGATTTCCAAAACTTTTCCGTCATCCCAAACAAAAACTGTGCACCCATTAACCAGTGACTTCCCACCTCTCCCTCCCCCAGCTCCCAGGAGGCCCCCATCCTACTTTATCAATTTTCCTATCCTAGGTACCTCATATAAGCAGAAACATACAATATTCCTCCTTTTGTGTCTGGCTGTTTTTCACTTAGCATAATGTTTTCACGGTTCACTCATGCTGTAGCATTCGTCAGAATTTCCTTCTATTTCAAGGCTGAATAATATTCAACTGCAGCAAAGGACCACACTTTGGTTATCTATTCATCTGTTAATGGACATTTGGGTGTTCCAACCTTTATTGTAAATAGTGCTGCTATGGACATCCATGTACAAGTTTGTGCTTGAACATGTTTCCAAATTTTGGGGGTGCATACTTAGCGGTAGAATTGTTGGGTCACATGATAAGTCTATGTTTAGCTTTAGCACAGCCTGTTTCTTACTGTTTTTCTATTGCAATTTTATTCACTGGCTATTTCTCAATAGTGAACATTGACCTCTGCTGGCCCTGGCCTTTCTCAGGGATCTAACGTGATTGGTATCCTGCCCTTAGAAGAAGCTGCAACCTCTGCCAGTATGTGCTTAGCAAGCAGTCACACAGAGATGATGTGATGCTATTTTTAAGGCTCTGAAGCAGTTGCCTTGCTGCTTGGTTCTGCCTGCAGTGTAGACAGTACCTGAATCTTGGAGCAGTGTCTCATTTTGTCCTCTTGGGGAATTGTGTTCGTGACAACAACAGCCTCAAAGGCGGCACTATTTATCCTGGAAATAGCTGGCCCAGAGAAAATCCCATGGGTAAGGATAGCATAAACTTTGGTGGCTCCAGCCGAGAGTAGCCTGGAAAGTAGCAGAAGATAAAAAATTAAGTGCACACAGATATTCTTGAAATACTCTCCCTTAATGTGAATGCTAAAAGCAGAAAGTGTGTTCCATAACGGAAAAGATGAAACAAGTTTCAGTCACATTATTAGCCTAACCAGGATCTTTTAAGGTATGTGTTAGCAAAACACTGTGTATTCCACTAAATCAGGGATTATCAACCTTGGGCATTTAGGCCTGGATGATTCTTTTTAGTGGTGGTGTCCTGTGCATTACAAGAAAATTTAGAGCATCCCTGGCCTCTACCCACTAGCAACGCCTCTCTCTTCTTAGTCATGACAACCAAAACTGTCTCTAGATATTGACAAATGTCTCCCAGGGGGCAAAACTGCTGCTGGTTGAGAACCACTGGTTTAAACCAATATAGCCAAAATACCATTTTGATGTGTACATAATATAAAACATTGTTAAGGAGATATTTTACATTCTTCATTTTGTACTAAGTCTTTGAAACCTGGTGTGTGTTTTACATTCTTACTTAGCACATCCCAAGTGGGACTGGCTACATTCCAAGTGCTCCACAGCTCTGCGTGGTTGAGTGGTGGCTCCCATGTTAGACAGCACGGGTCTGCCTCCTCTAGAAATCAATGTGGCTGGGAAGGCTGGAGCAAAGGCCGAGTGGAAGAAAGCAAGGGTCCAAATAAGCCCCCGAAACTGTCTTTCTTCTGTGCTCGGTTACAAGGGAAGCCACCTTCCCTGGCCCTTTTAAAAATACACTGAAAGCTCAATCTAGAAAATGAAAAGGCCCAGGTTCCTTTACTACCAAGAACGTATGATAAAAATAAGTGGGCCTAGTATCTCCTTTGGTCTAAAACTCCACTGTCAACCAATCAGCAATAATTAGGAAAAGCAGCCCCAATTTTGGAAAGCTGATGTCTTTTTCCTTCTTAATGAGATGTCCTCATGGTGCCCTGAACTGCCCTACGTACTTATCGGCAGCGTGGCAGATGGTGCCACAGGTGTCGGCCATGTCGTCCACGAGGATGGCCACGCGGTCCTTCACGTCGCCCACCAGAACCATCCGATCCACCTCATTCGCTTTCTTCCTCTCTTTGTGAATCAAAGCAAATTCCACGTTCAACCTGTCTGCAATTGACGTGACCCTGCACAAGAACATTAGTGAACTGCATGTTAACACTCAAGTAATATCTGTTCTACCGGAGTGCAGCAAGTGACCACACTGGAGATAACAAAAAGACTCAAGTCTCACTTGTGAAGCCAGGTACGGTCTGGGGCATGGACTAACCAACCCACAGGGAGAAACGTGCTAATGACATACCCTGCATTTGTGGTAGCTGGGAATGAACGTCAGGGCACCCTGGCCACTTGAAAAAACTGCTGAATGAGAAATTGATATTCAATCTCATAGTGTTTGTGGGTACTTCCTTAAAATCACAGACACAAAACAAAGTATTTAGGAAGTACCAATTGCTCGGTTTGTAGAGCAGATAGTGGGGACAAAAGTCCTGATTAACACACCCATTTAATATGTAGGCTCAGGAGAATGGGCTTCCTTGCACTCGAGGCATAAGGAGACTCTGGGAACCATGAGTCCAGCCCTCTGCCCATTTAAGGCAAGAACTCAAAAGTCACTAGCTCAGGAGGAGCTGTGATGGCAACAGAGAGAAGGTGGGTGGGCCAGGCTGGATGGTGAGCCCACATGTTCTGGATTTTCCCATAGAGAGTAGACTTAAATGATGACACTTATTTCAAAATAATGCCACAGATATAATGTGACATTGAGATTTTCCTATTCCAGTTTTAAAATAACAATCAGCCATGATGCAATTCAGCTGAAAAAATATTTTGGGGACCCATAACCCCAATTTCAGATGCAGTGCATGCAGGATCCAGCCTCCATGCATTATTTTTAAAGTGCTGGTCCTATTCACTGTGTCACGTTCAGATGGCGACCAGGAATGGACATCCAAGGACAGAGCAGGCAGGCCTCTGGGGCTGAGGGAACTGCATGGAGAAGAAGAGGTACTCCAAGCTGCCCTGCACACGTCTGAGGACTTTCAGCACAGCTGGCATTTTTTAAAAAATTATGGTAAAATACACATAAGACAGAATTTACCCTTTTAAACATTTTCAAGTGTACAATTCAATGACATTAAATACAGTACAATGATGTATAGCTATTACTTCTATCTAGTTCCAGAACATGTCAATACATCAAAAGGAAACCTCATCTCCATGGAGCATCACTTCATTCTTCCCTTCTCCCAGGCCCTGCCAACCACTAGTCTACTTTCTGTCTCTATGGATTTACCTATTCTGGATATCTCATATCAATGAAATCATATAATATGTGGTCTTTTGTGTCTGGCTTCTTTCACTTAGCATAAAGTTTAAAAGGTTCTTCCATGTTGCAGCATGTATCAGTATTTCATTCCTTTTTATGGCTGAAGAACACTGTGTTGAGTGGATATAGCACATTTTGTTTATCCATTCATCTGCTGATGACATGTGGGCTGTTTCCACTTTTGGCCATGGTGAGTGAACACTGGCATACAAGTGTCTGTTTGATTCCGTCTTCAAGTCCTTCAGTCACATATACAGGAGTGGAATTGCTGCATCACATGGAAACTCTGTATAAGTTTATTCTGCCAGTATTTTAATAGCTTCAACTATCCTCTCTTCAATTTGATTGAAGAATGCGGCAACCTCTTTCAAGCGTTAATACTCCTGTTCTGCATTAGAATTAGCAAGGATATTTGCTATCTCAAGCAAGAGAAATATATGAAAACAAGGCCTAAGGGAAGGTCCCCTTTATTCCATATAGACATATTTCCATTTCCAGACGACATCTTTGTGTTGCATTCTGGCACTCTGGCAGACTAGGCAGCCTGCTCACCCTTCCCAGTGGAAACAACTAGAATGCCAGGTTGCATCGTAATTCAGGGGAACTATCTTTACAAACACATTGCCAGCTGGAATGGTAGTAGGAATGGTCCAAGGCAGAGAATGCACAAGTAGGTTGTCCTGAGAAGCTGGCACACAGTAAAGTGCTTGCTCTGAGGGTTTCTGAGGAGTCCTAATGATCTCAAGCTTCTGTTTTGCTGGTGGAGACATGGGGTTGAGACAGCAAGCCTAGGGCCCAGCTGTGATGGGCAGTCTAACACGAGAGCCTCATTTACACAGGGACGCCGGAGGTTCTTCCTTCAGAGTACCAAGGAATGACAAATAAACCTGCTGCCCAGGTGGGAACTGGAAAGATGCTTATCTGTCTCAAACTCTAGGCTGAGTGGAGGAGGTTCATTCTCTCTTGAGAGTTCTAAACCACATCTCAGCTCTCCTAAGGATTGCTTGTCCAAATTCCCATTATATGTATGATGAAAACCCTCAAGTGGAGAGTTTAATTTAAAGTGATACTTTGGGTTAGTACTCCAAGGTATCTGGCAACACCAAATGCAAACCTTCTGGGAAGGATTATAATGATAAAATTCTAAGGGAATGAGGGGTTCACAGAAGAGAGTCACAAAATATCCAAGGAAATAAGGCACCAAAAGTGAGAGACACCAGAAATAACTGTAACTGAATTGTAACAGCAAAGAATGACATACTGGAATTAACTGAAAAGGATCATAAAGTAATTATTTTGTATATTTTAAAGAAATCAAACAGGAACTGGGATAAGAGTAAAAGGATCATATGAAGAATGGCCAATCAAGACTTAAGAACTGAATTTCGAAAAACAGAAAATATTGTATCTGGAATTAAAAACTTAGCAGATAAACAGATCGAAAACACCTGAATAGAGAATGAGTGAATTAAAAGATAGAGATCAAGAGAGCCCCAAAGACAGAAGACACAGAAAATATGAAAAAGAAGCTAAGAGACATGAACAGCAGAGTGACTAGGTGACACAAGTAGCTGGAATTCTAGAAAGAGATAAAAGAAAAAAAGATGAGATAATATCCAAGTAGACAATGACTGAGAATTTTCCAGAACTATTGGAAGTCACCAATCCTCTAATCCAATAAGCCTAACAGATAAATCTTAAGCCAACCAAGAAATCTTAAAAGAGGTGAAGGATAAAGACAGGTCCCCTAGAAGGGAACAGCAATCAGACTGATGGTCAAATTCTCAACTCCCACAATGGAAGCCAGAAGTTAGTGGAGTAATATCTTCAATGTGATAAGAGAAAGTAACTGCCAAGCTAGGATGCCATACCCAATAAAATTGCCATTCCAGAATGAGGGCAGCATAAAGATTTTCAGCCAAACTATGCAACCTGAGAATTCATTTCTAACATAAAGCCACTTAAAGGATGTGACTTAAACAAAAGGAAAACGATAGCAGATACGTTAAGATGGGAGGGGAGAAAGGTAAGTGAAGATACTGATCAACACGTGGACAAATCTAAAGAAATGCTGATTGCATAAAACCACAATAATAATGATGTCTAATCTATGGAGAAGAAAAAAGCTATACTGGACAACAGCTTTATAGCACGTAGGAAGACAGTCGTCATAAGTCCACACCTGTCAATAATCACGGTAACAGAAAAGGGACCAAACTTTGAAGCTAAACACAGACTATTAGATATGAGAATAAGACACCAATTTCAGATTTCCAAATGTCCCTGGAAGCAAAGGCAAGCGTTATTACTATGATGAGGTCCATGTTTCTCCTACCCTTTAAAAAAAAATCTTTCTTCAGGCTGGAACCAAAACCACAGTAGCCCTAGCAAATATCCTTCATTTCTAAACTTGTCTATCTACCAACAGTTTCCTTACTTAAGAATCTAAAGTAGGAAAAAAAATTAATTTGAAGGCTGACAAAAATTTTGCCCTATAATCACCTCAAAACATACACTACTATTGACATGCCAATTTCATAAATAAGCCACTCAAACTCCAATTAGGGAAAGCTAGTTTTTCAGAACATGAGACAGGTTTTCCCAAGACACTTGAACACCCTGCACAAAATGTACATATATATTAATTGTGGCTTGTTTGTTTGGTAAGGACTAGGAAGACTTTGGTGTGGCACCACCGTTTATGGAGGAAGCCCTCAGCCCACCAAGTCCAAACATGACCCGTTTCCCCATCTCTGGCAGGTAACTTCTGTGTGCAGACAGACAGAGGGCCTGGAGGCCTGCCTGGGACAAGAAGGTGAGCTGTGGGCTTTGCCAGTGGGGACCTGGGACATCTCATCATCTGAGTGGGAAGCCCCAGCCATTTCAGGTACCCAGTGGTAATGTCAGAGGCAGAAGGTAAAGGAAAATAATCCTGCAAAAAGCTGCCTAGGTAGCTAGAACATTATCATTTCCTGAAAAAGCTACAAGTAACTTTTCTCTTCCAGGTATATAATGGAGACTTAATACTTATTCCTAATAAATGAAGTTAAGACCACATACTACACTGAACTCTTAGGTGGAAAAAGCCAGAATGAAAATTCTATATATACAGTTTGACTTTTATTTCCTCTGGGCACGTATTTACATTCTTTCGTGTGTGTGTGTGTGTGTACGTGTGTGTGTGTGTGTGTACGTGTATCTCAGAAAAGAGATACATAATACTCCAAAGTATTCATGGTGGTATCACTGGTAGAGATATAAGGTAGTTAAAATTGTCTTCTTCCTAACTTTCCAAATTTTCTATAGAGCATGTCCAAAGATTATATAACAAGAAAAACTTGTTAAATCTGACTTACTTCCCATACCACTTTTAGGTTGATTTTTACTATCTCCACAGTGGTAGTTATGTTTCTTCGTTAGATTTATTTTTTCTTAGCTGTCAACCCAATCTAGCTTCAAAGACTACCCAAGAGTGACCTCCGGTGGCGAGATTTTTAGCTGAAATGAGTCAAGCCTCAAAGCTTTTTCTAAAGCAACAGGCTTCAATTTGTCAGATAGATATATATTTTCTTTGGTGAAATATGACTTTTTGCACCAAGCAAAGAAGCCAAGATTATGTCAACTGCGTGCATCATGTATCATGCATCATGAACTGCAAGGCTGTCCAGAGAAGATCATCAGCTGGGGGACAGCCCACTCCAGAATATGAGGATGACAATGATATGCAGCAGAAACTGTGGGGAATGGGAAAGGAGGTGGCAAAAAATTCTGAAATATACACCCCTAAAAAGCCTGACTCTCCTGGCAGAGGGGGCAGGGGTGGGTGAGTGGGACTGCTTTGGAGGGGTCTGAACAAAACAGCATCTCAACCCTGACCATTTACTCTAGGTAGTTTACTCTGCATTTTTTAAGAGTAGGAGTTGGCAAATAGATAGGAAAACTTAGTATATAATAAAAGATGCCGTTTCAAATCTATAGTAAAGAGGTAGATCACTTAGTAGATAGTTTTGGAACAACTAGATAGCTGGGGCTGGGAGCTGGGGGGAGGAGCTGGATTCTTATTTCGCTCTTTCTTCCAAAAAAAAATTTCAGATGGAAGAAAAACTGAAACATTAAAAAGGAAAAAGGCAACCTTAAAAATATACAAAATCATGGGAGAAGAAAAATTTTAAGGGTGAATCCTTCATAAATGCATAGGCCATAAGGTGAAGAAAAGATACCTATGACTACATGAGAAGGCTTTAAAAGTCCTGCAGGAAGTGCAAATATAAAAAAGGGGAATGAAAACCTTGGGGAAATATTTGCAGCACACACATGAGAAACAACGCTGGGATCGTGTGTCTATGCAGAACTCTACAATACATAGGAAAGAACGATGGGCAAAAGCTATGAACAGACGTCTCACAGGAAATCAATGTGCCCTTACCCACAGCAACCTGAATTCACCATAGCAAGAGATACCACAGATCACTTACCTGCTCTGGAAAATCAGCCTGTCTGATAAACCATTGCGTGAGCAAGGCTGTGTAGAAAGTCCCTGGCATCCACACTTGATGGAATGAGGACTGGTATTTCTTTTTTGAAAGACCACATTTTGGCACTATCCACAAGAACTAAAATGGCTCATGCCCCTTGACTCCACGTTTTCACTTGTAGGAACATTTCCTATTTGCACATGGGCACAAAGTGTCAAAGCAAGTGCAGTGCCGCAGGACTGTACTTAAGCATACGAACAGCACTACCTATAAGTGGCTAAAGGGGACTGGTCATAGGAATAATCATCTATGCATAAGAAGGAATATCACACAGCAGTACAAAATGATAAAGCAGATGTGCATGGCTATGGAATCATTGCTAAGGTATAGCAAGTAAGTTTTTAAAAAAGCACAGTGGAGAAGTGTGCACAGCACATTACCATTTGTATGGAGTAAATAGGGGGATATTTGTTTGAATAACATAATTCTGCCATTGGAAAGAACAGTGGTGTTTAAAGAAGCACATAGGGGGCGGTGGTCACCTTTTGTACTGCTTGAATTTTTTGCTAAGAGCATGCCTGATATTTTTAGACTGTATATATGAAAACAGGGCTGGGAAAGGAAAAATAGGTAAGAAAAAAGGCCATGTGAATTTGTGGAATCTATCATCCTTTGGGCTTATTGACTGCCAAAGTAACATTTTCTGGTTAAAGAAAGAAATATGCCAGACATAAAGGCCATGTATTGTATGATCGATTGATGTTAAAAGTCCATAAACGCAATTCCACACAGACAGAAAGTAGATGAGCGGCTGCCATGGGCTGGGGGGGACAGGGAGTACGGAGTGACTGCTAATGGGTATAGGGTTTCCTTTTGGGGTGATGAAATGTTCTGGAATTAGGTAGCAGTGCTGGTTGCACAAATCTGTAAATATACTAAAACCCACTGAACTGTATACTTTAAAACGGCAAATTGCAGGTATTTGAATTATAGCTCAATAAAGCTATTATTAAAAGCCAGTTACACCTTATGCCCACGTACCCCTTGGTCCACTGCTTTACCTCTAACCTTTGGTTGGGCCAGTGGATTTGCCATATTCAACGCTGATTAAGTAAGTTTCCAAATAAACTGCAAGCATTTCCAGTAGAAATGACTCCAAAGTGTTGCTCACATTCTTCAGCAGGTGACACTCAGTGTGATTCGACCTGGCTGTCCTGGCCGAGGGCATTCGTGTGAGCAGCATCCAGTCTACCAGGCCACACCACACGTGCTACTCTCCACTCATCGTGCCTGTCTGGGGCCTTTTCAAGTTCATGTTCTGCTTCTGTCTTTTCTCTATCTGTGTCTTCTTCCTGTCCCTGCCACTTCCTGCTGCTGCCAGGGGCCCATCTCCAGCTGCAAGGCCCATTCCCCCTCCTCTTCTGGGCTGGGAACCTAGGCAGCCGTTGGCTGGCAGCTTCAGCAGAACACACGGGGCTCTTCTCAGCAGCAGGACCAAGGTGTCCCCGCACAGACCTTATGGCCAGTCTCTGAGCTGCTCCTAAGCTTCGAAGTGTGATTCTAGGTCATCAGCTGGGCTGCAGGCGGACGAGTGTATCCAGTGAGGGACGGGCTTTTGCATGTTAAAGATGTCCCGAAGCCTGAGAGTCCCCCGTCACTTTCACCACGCATGTATAAGGGCACATCTCCGAGCTTCCTCACTTTCTCACAGCACTGTGGGCACAGGTCTCTCCTACCACTCCCTTCTTTACGGACGCCCCTATCTGGGCCATAAAACTCCGTTCCACTTTTTTTTTTTTTTTTTTTTTTT